ATGCTCTTTTGAATGATGTATGATTCACTAGTGTTATCTCGGAAAATTCCTAATGGGCCGATTTGACCTCTTATGCGCCCCCGTCCTTTGAACATTGTTTTCACTTTTTGATGATTTCTAGTGATTTTTATCACTGGAAACCCTTTTTTTTCAGTTTATCGTGCAGTGATGTAGTTTAAATTTTATTATTAGATATTTTCTATGATGTAGAGTGGTTTTTCATTCATTTCTAGTATCTTGTCTTGGTTTATAATGGCTTCCAATAGTTTTCTCTAATTTTTAACCATTTCCAGTCAATACTGGTGTTCTTAAGGCATTGTTATGATTTTTGGCGACTTTTAATGATGTCTAATGATTTTCAGAGTGGAAATTAGTTTGTTTCCCCTTAATCTAATATTTTTCATTTGATATTCATATTCTAGTTCATAAGTTCCGTATATCAGAGAAATACATGCTACCTTTGTAGTAATTTAGAGTCTTCTGATATTGCCTTGCGTCTTTTTTCATATCAGTTTAGCTTATTCATTTAAGTTGAAGGTTTTGCTTTAAAAACAAATGTGTTTTCTAGGTACAAATTTCTCGATTAATTATTGTAGAGCTCCCCGTTTTATATTCAATATGGCATCCGATTGATTTCAAGTTAATTTTTATTACTGATGATGACTTAAGTTCTTTACATGAGTAATATGTTTCTTGGATTAATATTGACTACAAGAAGAAACAGCCAGTTTATGGGCACTATCAATACTAATACAGTTTTTGCTGTCGTAAAATCAAAGATGCATCTCCTCTTTTTGAGTAAAAATTCATATACATCTCCTGGTGTAGCGATCACCTTCTAAGATTTCGAGTCTGATTTTATTGTATTACTGATTTATGTAAGTATATAGAATTTAACGGATGTGACCGAAATATCCGATCTGTAGAATTTCTTAGATTTATTTACCGATATAAGAGGTGAATGTGAGAATAGAATTCCTCTCGAACTTATCAACTATTGGAATTTTTAATTAATCATGATTAAGAATAGGCAACCGTTGTGCTATTTAACAGAGCTCCACATCACCCATACCATACCCAATCGAAATATGGACAGCCCTTATTGAAGGATATAGTGATTCCTCAAAGATAGGACTGAAATAAAGTACACTAATCATCATTGTAATTAGCAATCAGCTGAGACTAAACAGATACCATATGAAATACTAAGAGAAGACAGAAAGGTTTGTTTAAAAGATGAACGCTTAAGCTATCTGCATCAAACAGACTTTTTTTACTTTATTGATTTTGAACCCATCTAAATCATCTTTTTTTTATCTAGTTTTCGACACTTAATCAGAGTCGATAATTTCAAGATATTTTAGCACATGGGAACAAGAGAGAGTGGATCAGTTTTGTAAGACAAAAAAGTGATTTTTAGTCATATTTGATTTTATCCATAATTTGACTTTTAAAAAAAATATATTAGTGAAAAATGGAATACAATTGAAATTTTGCGTTTTCTGAACTATACTTTGAAATGGATTAATTTGTAGACGAAAACTGAAGATGGGTTGTGGGTGTGAGGTCAGGGATCTCCAACACTCACACTCGCACTCACACCCACACCCACTTGTCGTCTTGTTTTTTTGCATGTCGTACGGAACAACAAATTTTCCTCGATTCCTTTATAAAATGGATATCCGTTTATTTCAGCGGTGACGACTTCGTCGAATGACTCCATTCTAATGCATAAATATGAAGAGAGAAAGTAGTGTTTTGCATAATTCACACGATGATATGCTATTTCCACGAAAAAAACAACTATTCTTTTAAGTTTGATATTTTAATTTGTAAACATCTGATTCTTGAAATTGTTAACCTATTAGCTGTATAGTGTTACGTTTTTCTTCTCCTATAAATGTCATGTGAGTAAATCTTTGTTATTATAATATACACGCACACCACTATTATTTTGCCACCACAGCATCTACGAGCCTGATCTCGATAGTCTCTTTTCATGTTCTACCAACTAATCACGAAAAGAATGAATGAGTGGCGGTTATACGAGATTGTTTGAAGAGTACATTCATATCCACACAGGTCTGCACCCACACCTGTGATTCATGATTGGATACGCACTCATGTGTGAGCATCCTTTTTTGTAAAAAAACAGCCGCTACAATGCAGAGTTGTCACGCAGTTCAAAGAAAGTTCGAGTAAATGAATAGAAGGTGATGGCAAATGCTGATTTGTGATTGAAAAGAGAATAAGAAGTTACAAATATAGGATGTTGAGGGTTTCATTACTCTGTTATAATTCTATGTATGAGACGATGACGCTATATCAGAACGAAATATTACTCTACCTATAATCATAAGCCAATGTACATAGCTCAAAACATTATGTATTATTGATGATTATATAATGAGAAACTTCGGTTTTTCTCCTGTTACAAAAAAAAAATTCGTCTAGTTGATTGAGGTAGAGGGAATCTATTTGATTTTTGTATCATAAATTTATATATCGCACACTCTGCATATCAATAATCTTCCTAATAAAAATGCTCTTGGCTTTCACAGCGCGTAGTAAGCTCTCGTCGTCACGAGTTTTTGTTTAAGATGGTGAGAAGAGACATTCTCGGCAACATTTGATCAGGAATATTCCCTTGACTCAAATAATTATTTTACTTCGCAAATATCTTGTTCGAAATATACGATTTTTTGGCATATAAAAAAGTCGCTAGTAAATATCTTATATGAAAAACCCCCAATAAAGTTTCTGGTGCCTCGTCGTAAAAAGTATATCAAACAACGATTGACGGAATAAATATATAGTACTACACTAAATCTCATAACAATAGAAAATATATTGGCATCGATTGATATTAGATAGACAGAGATAAGCCGTTATAGAGCAATACTTGAAAAATAGACCTCGTAGAACAATTTTTACGAAAAAATACTGCCTTATTCAGAAGAGCATACCTGGTTTTGGTGCTGGTTCGGGTTTTGATGATGATTTATATGGGATGGTGGTACTTGTCGATACAGAAGCAGTGGGTGCAGTAGAGTAACTTGAATGACCAGAATCTAAATGAAAAGAAAATAATCTCATTGTTATCTGTACTAATTCATGCCAGCAATTATGTGAACATGCAATATCGTCTCTGCTTAATGTTGATCCGCTGATCATTGGAATATGAATCGAGAGAACAGGCTATCCTCACTTTAGAGCTAACACTATATTTGGAACGACATTTGGAAAGCAAATCAAGCTTCAAACTAAACATTGCTATTTATTCTAGAGATGATCATACGTGCGTCTATTACATTTGTGGAACATGACTTGTTCTCCTATTAAGTCAATAAAGTTCGTGGTAACTTTACTTTTTCATTCCGAGGAGAGTATTTCCTATCCATTTATCGTTTATCAACATCATATCTAAGTAATCATAGGACACTGACAAATCATATGTGCACAGTAAATAACACATATTTGATATTCCAAAAGAAATGCAATGCGGAGATCATTCAATTGCTAATCTCAGTCGTAATCTTTCTTGGTTTAATTCTAGAATCATTAGTTAGAATCTTAAAAAGCTAGAACGAAACCAAGTTGTAGTACGTTCTTCAATATCTTCCTAAGGTATCATTAGGTTTTGTCAAAATTTTCGTTGGAAGAAAAAGACAGAACATAGAGAGGCTTTTTCAGACTTCTTCCTGGATCTATTTGATATTTTCGTACCATGATCCCGTTTGAATTCGAAGATTTTCTTAGATGATGATCTTGTTAGACACATAGTGGCTTCTCTTCATCTACACTCAGACATTCACTCACATTCCACTGATACCTATACTCCAGATTCCATACAAAAAAACATATTCCTGGGCAAACTTTTTTGGTATCAGCATGAGATAGTTGAGAATCTAGAGCAAGACAGTCATGCCAATGGACAAATCTTGAGAGCTGTACAGGTTGAGTGTAAAAGAAGCAAGTCCACCTATGTTAGTAGTTTTAATAATCATATTAATGAAATTTTTTCTCTAATTTGCGTGACTTTTTTGAGATTCATAAACAAGAAAGCGATACTCTATGAGCAAATCTTGACGCTTGCATAGGGCAAGCATGCAGAAACAATTCGCCTAGGAAATGGGTTTTACTTAATAGTTTAATGCAGCCTCTCTAATCATGCGGTAAAGCACTGAAGCCTTGGCACTGAACTTTATGATTTTTTCAAGTGAAGAGCATACACATTAAATATGATTTTCAGGAATGTCATCTGTAAATATAAAGGTTTCAAGAATCTGTGAGAATCTGGAATCCATAATTTCCTCCTTATTATAGACGCTATTTTTATCAAATAAGTGCAATAGAATTTTTCTCTTGAACTATTTTTCAAACAAAACGATCGATCGAATATGCTGAGCACTTTCATGCAAATGAACAATCAATACTTTAGGAAATGTTTATTGAAATTTCCTCTAAATCGTTTCTCATAAAAACAATCATGAAAATCTTTGAAACGTAACAAAATAGCTCAGAAAATTCTAATCAAGTTTCTTTGATCATTCAAAGATTCCTGAAAGCGACAAAACTTTTGAAATACTTGACACAATTATTTATTTTCAAAAAAGCTAGGCTTAATGACATCATACGAAGAGAGCAAACTTTCCGACAAACTCTAAAAATAACTCTTTTCTTTACTTTTCACCAAAGGTTAGTTCAAAGTGAACAATATGTAACTTTGAATTTCTCACTATTGTCATTCAAAGAAAGTTTCTTTATCACTTTTTCTTTTTCTTATTCAGTTTACTGCCTCTTTTTGGAAGGAAAAACCCTTGATTTTTTTCTAACTTGACTATTGAAACTCTTCGCTGAATAGTTTTCAACACTTCTTCTCGATCAGACTCTTCGGTCAAGATCAAAGAATCGTTTCTTTCCGATGATTATCGACTCTAAAATTACCTTATGGTTAAGATCAGCTTTAAAAGTAATTGAAAGTCTCAAACTCATTAAAGCTAAAAATAATTACATCTCTATCTATTCTAAAGGCATGACGAAACAATTATCTGAGTTTCCTATGTCACTTGTACTTCATTCAAGACTTGAAACATTGTGTTTAACTTCGTTTCCAAAATAGAATTTATTGACCATTTACTGCATCTTATGAACGAAACGCAAAAAAAGCTTTTTAATTAGTCGCCTTTGGGAAAATTGATAATTGGATTCAAAACCTAAACAGATCGAGAGAAACTGAGCAGCTCTATAATGTGTGGTGAACGTTGATGTAGAATAGATGAAATGAAAAAATAATCTTTTAGATGAGATATTTACTTGTGTGAACTCTTTGCAACAGAGACAATTAAACTTATCTCTGGCGGACACGTAACAATATATGAATTTGCAAATATCAATGATAGGTTCATTGATTGTTGTGTTCATTTTGGCTGAGTTCATATCGGAAAAGTTCAAATGAACAAATCATTTTGATATTTCGAAGGCTCCTAGTTTTTTTTCTACCGATTCGTTTTTAAGAAACAAGTCTATCATGTTCTTGCTAATTCCTACTTAATATCCTTTTCTAATATTGCTTCGAAACATTCATTATACGAATATTCTACATCAAGAAATTTCAATTATGAGTAAATCTAATTAAGTTAAATAAACTATTGATGTCACAGACTTATTTTACCGATTTAATTGCTTTTTTTTTTAGTTTTTCTAAGGAATTTTATCTTGAAGTTGAATTGATTTTTGAGAGTTTTTGTTTATCTAATCAAACTCTTTGAAAGTTAAGCTCGTGAGATTCTTTTATTTTCGTTTATTCGAAAAACAAAAACAACGATTGACTAAATTGATTATTCTTCTATACAAATGAACAAGATTTCTCAGGTTTTGTTATTATCTCTCAAGATAACTATCTGTAGTTCACGTCTAAGTGAAATCTAACAGTAAACAGAATTTACAAAATCTTCTGAGATAAATCTATCTTCTGATATTATGTTTATCTACATTTTGTTGAAAATAAAGTCTTGTCATATTGGATACATCAATACAATGTTGTTTTAGTATTAGGTATCGTGAGACATTCATGAAATATTTCAATGTCATGAATGACTGTTCGTCTGTTTCGAGGAAGAAGAAGATTTAATCAAAATCAATCATGAGTTTTAGATACTGACCATTATTTCATTATTTCATAATCATCTCTCTTAATATTAAAGAGTGTAAAAGAAACACGTTTGCGCTCTTGTTTTTCTCTTAATGAAATTTCACAATACAACTATTTAGGATAGCTGACATTTTTTTCTCTAAGTAATTAATGGTTCTGTAGTAGCATTTTACTCATATTTCTAACAAAATTTAATATGGTTTATGAGTAACTTCTTAACTTGCATAAAGAATAGACTATTCTAGTTATCATCGATGAAATTTTTTTTTCTTACCATAATTTGCCAATAAACCTGTTTTTCTGTTCAATTCGAATTCGAATTCGAATAAAAAGGTTTTCATTTCGTTCGATAAATACATTTTTATGCAACATTTATTGAGCTCCCTTAAATATATTCTGCTACATTCAATCGAAATATTAAAACTTTTTGTTAATATTCCCTAAAGATTTTTAAACGTTTGATGTAAAACATTTTATTTATTTGTCGATATTTGTCTTCAACGAGATTCTATCGAAATCTTTAAATTGATTCTTTGTAAAAATTTCAAAACACAAACAATCATTGGAAATTCTTTTACACCTGAAATAATTTACTTTGTTTATTGATTCTAAATGGAAATTTAGCTACAGTCTGATCTTTGGTTCATATCTTACAGAGAATATTAATCTGCTTTTTTCACTTATTCTATGCATATTTGAACAGGACATAACTCAGCAGAAGATTTAGTTCATCCATTAAACTCAATCAAGAATTAAACAAATATCAGAGAATGATGATTATCGTTTCTTTTTACTTGAAATTAGTTAAAACTCTACAATGAGTTGACTATTACTTAGGACAATCCAAAAGTAGTGGCCTAGGTACCTTACTTTCTTGCAATAGGCTTGCTGAAATTTTCTTTTTATATGAGATGATAGAGAAAACGAAGCTCTATTTGTCTATGCTATTTGATCGCTATTTAACTGCTACCATAATAAAAAAATTTCAATAAAAACTGTTTTTTCTGTAAAACTTCACTAACGCATGAGACAGATTTCATGTCAATTTCGAATCACTTTATACGTTGTATTAGCAAACAAAATATACCACAAGATGTAGCGTGAAAAGTTCTACAATTTATAAACAACAGTTTATTTTATATATGAAATAAGAAAAAGAAATTTCTTTTTACATGAATTTTTCGGGTCAGCGAAAATTGGTTGCACAGAATTTTGTTTTTTTGTTGGCAAGAAGTACACAATTAAAATAAGGTTGACTTTGAAGATTGTAGAACTTTCCACGCTGCATCTTTTGAGATATTTTCCTTTTTTGTAAATAAAAGATATTAGGTGACAAAAGTTGAAATAAGAAAAAACGAATTCATCTTGTATCAAAAAATATCGTTTTCACACAGTCGAAAATTGGTCGGTCAAAATTTTGTTTATTTTGAAAACGAAAACTGCAACTATAAAACAAGCTGTTTCAAGTAAATTGTTCGATTTTTTACGCTGCATCTTGTGGTATATTTTGTTTTTTAATACAATGTATTAAGTGATTGAAATATTTAGTCTGCTTCACCCACCCGTTAGGGAAGTTCTACACAAAAGCAGTTCTTATCGAAATTTTACTATTATGATACCAGTTGAATAGGGATGAACTAGCACAGAAAAATAGAGCTTCGTTTGTTCTATCACCTCTTAAAAAAAGAAAATTCCCACATGCCTTCTATAGGAAATTTGAGATACATGGGCCACTACTTTTGGATACCCCTAAGTATATCATATTGTTGTTATGATTCCATGTGTAAATGTTATTCGTATTGAATAATTTATCATGGAGATTCAAACATTTGATACTTATTGAAACGTTGAATTCGTTTTATATTTGTTCATTATTCGATAGTTCCTTAGGAAATCGAGTTGTGAAATTATTTTGAAGTGAATGAAAATCTTTGAGAATCATTCTTGTTTTAGTATTGATTAGACATTCAAAAAGTTTCTATTTATTGAATTTAACGATACATTTTTCATTTCGATTTTAGTTTAAATATTTACAATTAGGAGTTAATGATTGGAAATGAATGACAGTTAATATTCTTAATCTCATTGTAGAAGGTGAAATTAGTGTATATCAATTTTCTTATTACTTTTCCATACGATATGAAAATCGATTTTAGCAAATTTCTCAAGTCAATCTTTGATAGAGAATAAATATGAACTCTGGTCTCTATGGTAAGTCTTATAACCGTAAATGTTCAATAGCAAAAAGTTTTTCTTAACATTTAAATAAAATAGTTATTCTCCGTCGCTCCATAGAAATCATTCCTATTGCAATTTGACATTTAAATTCCAGAGGGTTGAATGTATTTTATTTTTCACGGCAAATTGTTCAATTAAAAAAAAATAGGCTGTAAATCATATCTAATTCAATTTTCTCGAACATAGTATGTCTTTTGAAGTAACTCTAATCTATCAATGAATGATTTTAGGTCGATTGATGAAAGAAAATACTTGATTGATTTATTAAAGCGTTTCTTTTTTCGTATGTATTTAGTTCAAAATACTTACAGCTTTGTTGTTCTTCTTGTCTGACGTAAATGAGTCGATTCCAATCAATTTGATCATCGTTAACAATGATGTTTTTGTTAGTGTCTTTTTGAGTAAATTCTTCAAGTTTTTGTCGCATATCATTGATTTTTTTTTGAAGTCGATCAATATCAGTTTCAACAATATTATCTTCTTCTCCTTGAAGAGAACGAATTTCTTTAGTAATTGGTTCAAGTTGTTCTATTATTGTTATTTTTTGGTTTTCGATTAATTGAATAAGCTCATGTCGAACTTTTTCTGCTGCTTTTTCCACTTTGTTGATTGTTGTTTGCTTCCATTGTTCAATTTGATCAAAAACAGGCAATGATAAATAATTTGATTTTTCCAATTTCTGTATTAGATCACGAAGCTCATCATGAGATCTGCGTATTTCATCATCAAATCTAATCGATAATTGTTGTTCATGCTCTTTAAAATCTTTTCGACAAAAGTATTTTTTACATCCAGTGCAAAATAATTTAGCTGGAGGGTTATTGCAAATTGAGCATATATTTGATTCATTGTCTGTTGCCATTTCTCTTAGAATATAATCAGTGAAGTAATGGAATTTATTCTATGTATATCTCTATCTAAAATGAATTCAAATAATTCATTCAACATTCTTCATTTATGGTTCGAATCGAATCTCGTTCAATTGTCTCAAGTTAATTTGTTTGCAATAAGAACTGAGGAAAAGACATTATAACAATCTTCAATAAATTTCTATGTTTATGACTTAAAAATTATACAAGTCGTGATCGAATTCTATCATGTTGAACATTTCATGAATTTTATTCGAGAACGGACAAGATTTCATGGAAGAAATCAATTTATGTCGATACAAGATAGAATTTGATACACGAAGTTGTTTATGAAGGATAATGTTTGTTATTAACAAATGAAAATCCATTGCCTTTCAGTGAAAATGTTTGATGATGTTCCAAATAAAATTTGATCTTTATTCACTTCAAGAGCAAAAATATGTTTGAAAAATTTCTCATTTATTTTTATCAAGAATCACGTAATTTACGGATGAATTATTTGATAACACTTGGAAATTCATAATTAAATAGAAACTCAACAACACCTTTCCAACATTTTTCTCTTCGACTCAAATCTTTTATTCACAACAAAATGAAATATCTCATGCGTTCTTTTCTTGCATTTTCATTTTAAACAAGTTAAATCTATTTTCTGCTAAAAGTTAGATGATTTCAAATAATATGCTCTACTTTTCAGTTGCATATTTTGTTTTGATTGTATATGCCCGAGATAGAATTAGTTATAAATCGTCATCTTAGGAAAAGATTTAAAAAACGCAATTGCATATTATAAAAGTATTTAGAATTTCTTATCATCGTTATATTTTGTTTTATTTTGCATTTCAGAGAGAGAGTTCACGAGAAGGGTGTGGGTGTGGGTGTGGGGTGGAGTGGGTGGGTGTGGGGGGGAGGGGGTGGGTGTGGGGGAGGGAGGGGCGGCGACAGCCGCGCCCGCGGATGGAGACGACGGGGGGATGGGAAGAG